GTCATCTCAAGATAATCCAAAGCCATATCAAAATCTTCATGTGCTGCCACTTCATTCACATTCTGTGAAGATGAACCATAAGAACCATGGGCAGGGTAGCTCTTTACAGCAAATGACTTTGGACTGGGGAGTCTTGCAGTACCAGGGGCATCAGATTCAAGATAAGATTTGCTATGCTGTTGATTCTGGGAATTATTCTGTGGGGTCCCAAACCAGACTGCCTCATTGCTGCGGCTAGAATCTTTCGTCGTCACATACATTCTATCATCCGTCTCCCTTTTGGAGAGTGGAATGTATGCTGCTGCATAGGGATTCAAAGAAGACAATCCTGGCTTCATGGTCTCAATTCATAAAAATCTGCTACTTTGAAAGAAATGCAAAACCGGATATTGTCAGACAATATTAATAATGTAATCATGGATGAAACAAAAATATAAAGCTTTCATGTCAAAATAAGCTGGGATTCCACTAATAAAGAGATAAAATCCTGGGTCTTACTTTACTTTGAATTTACTCAAAGGATAAGCTAATTGTTGTACCAAAAAATTTCAGTTGATGGTGAGAGTGTAACTGACAAACCCAAAACATATCATATCTATGACCTTTGATTAGATGAAAGAGGAAGACCCTAGAGGACTGATCTTGAAAACACCATTCAAACTCGTGTGCAATTTAATCACACAAGATTACAAATCCTTCACAAACAACTAAACCAAACAAATTATTCAATCCACTAATCCTTCAGAAACCAAACCAGTCAAAGTTAGTGCCTCAACTTGTCAAGAACTCAATTTCATATATCATATCCATATAAGAAGATACACTACATCAGATCACTATCCAATATCCACACAAGAAGATACACTACATCTGATCACTATCCAATTTCCTCAGGAAAAGATAAAAATGATATAAGTAAACAACCTCTAGATCAAGATTCACTTTAACAAAATCCATATTTGATTATTGCTTTTCTCATTAGACTTCAAGTAATCAATCAAGTATAAAATCCCGCTTTCCACAAAGTAAACAAGAACAGAATACACATACGGATCAACAAAATCTCAAACCTCAGATAATCAACTCGAATCTCATCGCAAAAAAGAAATTCCAAAACGCGGATCATCGTAATATGAAACCTAATTACGATCAAGATCAAAGAAAAAAAAAAGTTAACAGCATGAACCAACGAAGGTCAATGAGAACTCACAGAGAGCGAGGAGGCGATCTTGAAATCCAAAGAAGAAAAACGAAGAACTCGAAATCGCCGAAACCCTAGTTCCCGAGATCGCAGAGGACGCAGAAGAAAAAAGAGCAAATGATTTTCGGGGAAATTCTTCTATTTTTCGCTCTGTGGGAAATGTTTAGTGTATCCGAAAGCTAATAATAAAAAGTTTCTTCTCTTCACTTTGCATGACACGGACGTTTTACTGGGTTTACTATAACAGTTTTGGGCCCTGTTTGGAGACAGGGTTAGTTGTATTCTATTTGAGTTTTATGACTGAGCATACCACGTGGCATAAAATGATTGGTCAGTGGTTAATCAGACCATATACCCTTTTATTACAAGGACACGTGTTAAAAAACTGGGTTTTTAACATTTTTGTTGGGAGTTGGGTCCTCCATTGAGTGGATGAGCCAAGCAAGAAAAGAGAGAAAAGCAGAGCAAAAGAAAGTAGAGAGCAAAAATGGTTGTTCTCTCTCCTTCTCTATCTCTCTTCACATCCAACCAGCTTGTTCCTTCAAAACTCTTTTTCAGGTACTTTCTCTCTCTTAATCTTATCATGGACATGAATGTGTGAATGAATATTTCTCTGTATTTTTATTTATCTCTTTAAATTATTGGTTCTGTTTTTGGGTTGGTGCTTAGAGAGCAGGCTAGAACTGTGATGCAGCAGAGCAAATGGCAGCCATGTTCAAGTGCCATCTCAAAACCCACTTTGCAAAGTGGGTTTTGCAGAAGGGAGTTGTTGCTCTTTGGCCTTTCTGCTCCAGCGCTTGTAGTGTTCCCATCTTCAGGTGAGCTTTCTCAATTCACACTTTGGTAATTTGGTCAGTTGATTTTTACAGTCTCTGAAGAAACTGGGAAGAACATGGAAATTTTTATTTTTATTTTTATTTTTTTGGAAATATGTTATGGTTAGTATACATGTTTATGAATATAATCTCTAATAATTTAAAATTCTTTTTTGTATCTTTGTAATTGGCAATTATCAATAAGCCGCTGTTGTTGCAGGGTCCCTTGCAGAGGAAGACTTGAAAATGGCTACGTTTGTTGACGAAATAAATTCCTGTTCTTATCTATACCCAGTGGAGTTGCCATCTAAGAAGGTCATTTTCAAATGGTATGCAATGTGCCCCTTTTTCGATACGTGTATGTATCGTTGTTGTTGTTACTTTTCGGTTGAGAGGAACAAATTTGAATCTAAACGGAAACTTTTGAATGTTCATAACCTTTTGAATCATGCATTATTTTCTTTAAAGGAGACGCTGATAATAGTTTTCTGTATCCTTTTTTAGCACAAAAACCAACTAGTTGAATTATTTGCAATTATCGTGGCATATAAATTGTAGGAACCTGACTATTTTCATGTATTTCAAGGGTGGAGTCAAGAAAGCCAGAACGCTATTCATCAGCTGCACCATTATCTCGTAAGTTCAGCTTCAGAAATAGAATGATGAAAGTCTTTCAACAGAAACCTGACTAGAAACTGTTTTATATATTATACAGCTGATGCACGGCTTCGCATTGTTTCTGAGCGCGTTGACATTGTTGATAATCTCATCATTTCTATTTCGGTAACTCCTGATAAGATCACTACTTGTTAAGTGCAAATCCCCTTAGTTATCTTTCAAAGGTTTATAATTTAATTTCCTTTGATTCAGATAGGTCCCCCGAATTCAAAGATTATAAAATCACTAGACAAGAGTACATGGACTGCAAAAGATGTTGCTGATTCTGTTTTGGCTGACAAGTCTGCATTGGTAATATTCCACTGGCTCTTTTCTAATAGCTTTTGATTTTAAGGCTGGCTGAATAGAAAAAGTTTGTTACGATTGATTGTCAACGTGTGATTTTTTTTAAAAGTTTAACTAGGACTGAAAGAAATATTAAAAAGTGAAACCTTAGGCATGATTGACTATCCCGAACCGGAGGATCTTGAAAAATCAAGTGTACTAATTTTGATGTAACTGTGACATGATAATACATTCTTAGGAAGCATCCCAAGGGAAGAAATTGTCCAGTAAAACAACGACGAATTGAAAAACCAATTTGTAGAATAGCCTGTAAAGAGGATTGTGGTTGGATGGGATGGAGCAGTCCGTTGTAGAGTTACCTAACCAATTTTTGGGGGAATATTCTATAGCCTTGACTGCTTGATGTTGTCAAGTTGATGCTTGTTTGATCTGACATGCTACAATTCTCTGCAGCGGGTCACCTCAAGTCAGCGCATGGCGGAGAGTTCAGTTCTTGATGCACATTCTGGTGAAGTAAGCTTCCCACACCTTTTTGGGTTTACATAGCTGAAACCGTCGTCGTAAAATCTACTTGGCGACATATGAAGCTTGATCATTTTTATTCCTCAGATTGCTGGTGAGCCATACTGGTATTATGAGTACCTTGTTCGCAAAGCACCCACGAAAACTGTAAGTGTTCTTTCTAAGAGCAGTTTTCAGTTGAATAAAAATTCGCTCACTGTCCTGGTTTCTTCAGGATTCTTACAACAGTTAAAAATTGTGCAGGCTGAAGAATCTAACAATTATAGGCACTATGTAGCTTCAACAACCGAAAGAGATGGTAGGAAAATAGTTTCTTTGTTCAACCATTCCAGTGCTAAACATAAGATTTTTCATTTCGTTCTTTTTTCTCATCATTATCTTCATTACGCATACTTGTGGGGGAGAAGATGCCATTTGATTAAAAAAGTAACGGCCATGTTTTTATTGGGTTAATATTGCAATATAAAACCTGTCATTGAATCTTACAAAAACTCAATTGTAGGTTACTTGTACTCTATAAATGCTTCAACTCTCAACAAGCAGTGGAACATAGTAACTCTCTCTCTCTCTCTCTCTGTGTCTGATGAAGGAAATGAAGTTTTGTTGTTATTTATATCTTCTGCTTACATATAATTATTGATATGCATTTTATGTGATGCAGGTTGGGCCTATCTTGCAAAAAACTATAGCTTCTTTTCACCTCCTCCCTCCCACAGAAAACTATGTTCCTCCATACAAGGATCCATGGAGATTTTGGTGACAGTGTACTCGATTTTGTCGTCCCACTAATTTTTCACTCATTTATTCCATCAACATTGAAATTTTGGCTCTACGTTCCATTACGTTTCTCTTTGGGTTGATGATAAGTAAAGGGTAGATGACAAATTTGTATGCAAATTCTTTAGTTAATTGTTTGTTCTTTTGGCATTTTAAACTAATCCCACATCGACTGGGAGAAAAGAGTGAGTGGGAAGAGTTGATATAAAAGAGGATCAGGGAGGGCGTTAAAACATACTTACCTGGACAGGGTCAATGGGCGATCAAGAGGGCCCATGGCCTAGGTTGGTGACCTCCATTGCACTCAGGAGGGGTGCCAGTCTATGGTCTCCCCAACGTGGGAGAGCCAATGTCATAATTTGTGCCAGCGGGGGCCTGCGTTCGCGCGGCCCCTGACTAATTTTAGTCTAACCTTTTCAGAAAAAAATAATAATTTCAATTATGATCCATTGTGGGCTGGTAAATCTAATTTTCTGAAGTAAGAATAAAATTTATGAGTGAATTTTTTATCAGAACACTATGAATAATTTGGGAATTTTATTGAGTGAATTTTTTTGTCAGAACACTTCTGATCGAAAGGAAAAATAAATAATAATAAAACGCAATTAATATGGTAGAAAAATCCAGCCACCTATGTTTTTTGGTTGGAAGACCTTTTCTATTGAGAACGAACGAGCTATACTAACAAATCTCGCATAAGAGTTTAATTGCAATTACCAAGTGTTGGAAACTTAGAACCGGTAATTTTCTTTCATTGATAATATTGAACTATTTACAAATTGAACGCATTGAACTTACAAAGGAGCTCATTCAATTTTGAGCAAAGAATAATTATACATAATCAGAAACTTAAAAAGTAAAGGAAGAAGAAAGAAATAGAACGTATAACTGACTGAGATTTCAAAGCTCCAATTGAAGGCTTGATCTGATCCACAGAAAAGTTAGAGCTAAAAGAAAATTGGCTAGCAGACTAATCCTGAGACGTAGCAGAATATTCGAAAAGGAGGCGTTTTGACGGAGCAGACTGTAGGAGAACCCGCAGGCGGCTCGAAAGCTGGTAGATTAAGGTCCATTGCATTGCCATCTCTGAGTCCTTCATTTGCCTAACAATTGTGGCCTGAAGAAAAAAATACTCTTAAATGATCATAAACAAAACTTGAAGGAAAAGAAGTAAAACAGTATCAATCAATTAATTCCCCTATAATAAATGGAAATATCAAAATTTGAGAGGCAAAAGAATTGAAAGCAGGTTGAAGAGTTTCATTAAGATAACCTGAAGACGTTTCCCAAGTTGGACTTCAACTTCTGTACCAAATGAAATATTACTGGCCAGGGATTTGAGAGGATCCACTGTAGGATCAACAGAAAGCAAACTAGGGATCTGTGGTGCATACACTAGCCTCCACCTTGCCTGGCCAAACTCTCCCTTCCCTTCTATTCTTGGCATCAGTTTTTCGAGTGTTGTAGTTGCAAGCTTTTGGAATGCAAGCTGCCCATCGTTTTCCAAGATGGACTCTGCCAATTGACTTTCGAAAACTCTGGCAGCCTATGAATTTGGGGAAAATGGATCAGATCAAAGTGCCAGTAAGTCCAGGGCATGAAAACTTGAACAAAGTTTTGCAACTCCTAAATCAGAAATCCAGGGCAAATAAAACAAATGTGAAAGTAGATTTCACGAGTGACCTAATGCGGAGTATTTAGAGTCCACTATGTGACAAAGAAAACAAAACCTGCAGGAGTGACCTATTGGATTGATCATTTCATACGACACAAGGAACTGAATACTCCAGCCAATATAAAACGATATACCTCAGTAGGTGAGATGGCATCCTGTTCCACAGAGCCAGTAGAAGTTACAACCAGTTTGTCCTGCCAGTTTCTGGCTCGACTTTGAATCCTGAATTGCCACTCAGAACCTACCAAAACTAAATCTAGCATTGGATCTAGACCATGTTCAGGCTCAAATTTTGCAATATTCAGATGCTCTTGCTTGAGCCTCACCTGCAATTGCAAAGTTAATGAGATTAAGAGAAGGCCAAAAGCAGAGTAACCACAAAGACGAGCAGTATATGGATTAGCTTGAACACCCCACCTGAGTTGCAACAAGATTTACGTCACCATTCTCAAAAGTTAAGACACCTCTAGGTTGTATCGATTTGGGATGAGCCGGGCCATTTAATTCAAGCTCTCCACTAACTGCGAAATTGAGGATTAAAGGATAAACTACCCTCAACTCTGGTCCTAGAGCGAGCTTCAAATCACTAAGCTGAATGTCTGCATTCGGTTTAATGTTCACTTGCTCCATCTCCTTTTCAGTTGGTTGAACTGCCAATCCAGAAGGTTGAAGGTTAAAAAGCAGAATTTGCAGATATCAACTTTACCAATCATATTTGCTAAAAAAACATCTAGTCTGAATTTATAGTATCATAATGTCACACAATGAAACAAAAGATGCAGTGATGTCTTACCTGAAGGTCGAGGGAACTTTGTCCTTGAAGCAGCAGGTTGTGAACTGAAAAACCGCGAAACATACCTCGAGGCAACTACTCGATCGACACCAGTACCAGGGAGCCTGGACTCATTTGATGCCAATCTATTAGTAGCAGCCCCACTACCCTTATCGTGTGGTAGATATGCTTCACCATGGCTCAATTTAATACTTCCAGAGATGTTAGGTTGCAATATAGAACCAGTTATCTGCATCTGAGTGTCAACCTGGGCGCTGCAATTTTAGTTAACACATGAGTTTTTTTTGGGCCGCAAACAGAAGGAATATGCAGCTAAGACTGCTAATAAAACATGGATTAACTCTCAATGGAAGGGAAGGGACTCCATTTCCGGAGTAAGTTTATCTTATTTGTTCTCTCTTCCTATTTTGGGTTTGTACCACAACACCAGAACCAATGGAAACATCAAAGCAGCAAAATAAAAATTGGGATTTTAAGGATTCTGAAAAGAATAAGAATCCAAAAATCAACCTATTAACGATGCGAATGAACTTAGCCTTTCAATCATAAGAAACAAAAATAAGTACCTCAGAATATTCTTTGCACGTACTTCCAGAACTTCACATTTCAAGTCAATTTTATCTCCAAGGGATGCTTCACTTGTTCTAAGGGGCAGGTTTCCTTTTACAAACAGTTTCCCCCTTCTGCTTACTCTACTCTCCAACGAAGTGATGCATAACCTATTCGATTTCACATGAACTGTGCCACCGAAGTTTGTGAGTGGTTTCCAGAGAACTGGTGATGATATGGATGCCCTGTGGAATGATGCATATCCATCCAGCACTGGTTGTTCGACTGTGCCTCTGACCTATTGATAGTACAATCCTCAACAAACTTTAATCATGGCCTTAAACTGAACCATAACAGAGCAATTTGACGGAAAAAAGAAACAGAGTGTATGAAATTACAGGCATGCAGAAAACCAACATTCAATTGACACACCTGAAGTATGACATCAGCGTTTCCCTGAAGCCATTTAGCATAAGAAGATAGGGCAGTTAACAGCATCATGCCCCCATCTTTAATATCAGCATCTATTCTGACTTCCCCTACATCGAGAAGGTTCCAGTTTAAACCTTTGAGGCTTTCTGCTAATCGAGTATCCCACCCTTCTTCATTTCGCTCTCTTGAAAGTTTCTTTTCACCAGAGTCATCTACGGAACCCCTACCTCTTTCCTTTACCCAACCATGGTCCCAACTTGCACGACTTTTATCTTTTTCTGAATCTTCTTCCTCTGACATGTTATTCTGAACAAAAGTGACAGGAACACTTCCTTGAATGTGAACATGGCCAATTTGGATGATTGGTTCAAATTTTGCATTGAACAGAAAACGACTGGTTGAGGTTAGGGAAGCAACAATTTCAGCTCGTCCAAGATCAATCCCCCCAATGGCACCATCCAGGAGCCTTACTTGCACATCACATTCTGGTTTTGCAAGATTCCCTCTGAGATCGCCTTCCATGTGCAATATACCCCTAATTGGTGCTAAAAATTTCCGTAAAGATTGAACCACATCAGTAGCAGAAGATTCAACCACCTGAATCACAGTAGGAACTAGACTAACAGGAAAGTTTAGAACAGCAAAGTGAAGATTCGTTTTAGGCCCTAACAAAGTCCCATCTGCGTGAATTGTAGCATTATCTTTCTGAATAAACATCTTTTCCAGGCGCAAACCATCATCGTTGCTGTATGCACCAACTGCCAGAACACGCTGAGTTTTGTAGGTTCCCCACTCCCATTCCTCCCCATGAAAATCAAATTCTGCCTGACAAAAATATATAATGATAAAACCAATTATTAGAGGACAAAGCCTACATGCCAAGATTCAAAAAGTAACCATGGTAGCTATGTATTCCAGGTCTAACTGCTACATTTAAGTTGGACTAGCAACAATTAGAACAAAAGGTTATCCTTATTATCTAAAAGTTGGTTTTTCCTTCAACTGAGAGGATTATCAAGGAGCAAAGTTCAAGTGATCATCAATTTGTAATATGAGCGCACAGGAGAACCTCATAGGATAGGACAGCATAACTTCATAGGATAGGATTCACTATCATTTGTGTATTACCCATCTCCTTGCAATTTTGGTATTCAGAAAAAAGATATTTGGTATTTGAACCCGTGCAACGATGGGAAAGATATATACCATTGTATCCCCATTGCCACCACCACTTGCATCAAGAGAGCCATGCCAGCTACCTCTAAGCTCAGTTAAACCTGGAAGATTCAATTCTTCTAGAACAACTTCATTTAATGGAGTATAATGTCCCCGTATAACCTGAAATAATGGATCAACAACAATCATATATACATAACTGCCCCGGCTGATCTCATTACTACAAACAGAAAAGAAAAAAAAATTCTACAAAGACATCAGATCCCAATTTCATGTACATCAGGTGATATGCATCAAGTAATACAGCTTCAAATCAGATATAAACACATGGTGTTTCGTCCACAAAGTACCTCGAGTAGTTCTGTAAGACTTTCAGTATATAATCCCACTGACTGCAAACTCTGAATAAAGAGATCCTGCATGCAAATTTCACAGAAATATGTAGAATCAGAGGTTTTTTCTTTTTTGGAATTGCTTTTTATGAGTCAAAAAATGTACAGTCAGAGAATTAAAATTCATCACAAGTAACCTATGCTTCTATAGAGGGCCTCAAAACTGTACAAGCCACAAGGAATTCATTTTTCCTGTTTTCTTTTAGTTATTGGAAAACATGTGGACCATGACTCCTGCATCTGGTATAATGTACTACTGATTACACACTTAGATGCCATTTAAATGACAAAGTTAACGTTCAGGGCTCAACTGAAAAGATGAAAATTGCTATATATCCTTATTCCCAACTTATTTAAAGGGGATACAACCTTTGATCTTGAATGAACAGCAGGATCTGTACTTCGAGAAACAAGCCTGGCTAGGGGAAGCATCTCAGCAACCTCAGCTCTAGGAACTTCCAGTCTCATTCTCCACCTCCCCATAGAAGATATGACACTACCCAGATGCCCAGCCATTGCCCTTTCCAACAAGCCACCCTTTTCCTTTCCAGCAGGGTTGCGATCTCGCGTTCCAGGCAATACATATTCACCCTGAAGCTCATATCGGCTGTTGCTTTGTTCCAGGACTGTTTTCTCAACAGTGATCTAGACATGTTGTAGTTGTGAATAAGTAACACCACATGGAGCCCCAAATAAGTCAAGACAAATTATTATTGGATATTGATACTAATTCATTCCAAAGGACTTTGACACCGTCATTAAGTATAAGGGGACATAATTCGATGTCCTGATTGTAAATCTAACAGAAACGCTGAAATAACAAAGCTTGTTCATGGCAAGTGAAAACACATTGACTTAGTTGATATATCATGGTTAAATAGACTTAAAGGAAGTGTTGTCAATTTCTTGGATATTACCAAAGCAAGAGAAATGAGAACATCTCAACGGAGCAAAAGGAAGACAAATAACCATCAAGTAGGGACAGCGACTGGCATTAAAGTCAGCAACAAATGTGACAAGAAGAAGACAAATCATAGAGAAATTAGACAGTGGCAGAGATAAACAAACAAAGAGAACTCAAATCAACTTTTTTTCACATGCGTGGACCTCTTGGCATTAGGAAGGGTAGCTTATAACCATTAAGAATAGCAATAAGTCAAGTTTACAATAAAAAAGATGTGAGTGGAAGGAAGAAAATCTTCTCAATAAAATTTTCCTAGCAATGAATCCATAAGGACAGATGAAAAGTACAAAAACCCAGGGGTACTCACAACATCCCCACTCCATCTAGCCGCCACATCAAGGGCTTCACCTAGCACACCGCTGAATTTCGGCCGAAGTACAGACAGCAGTCCATGACCTCTTCGTTTCTGAAGATTAAGCTGAATTTCGGCCTGAAAGAAAACAGCCACCTAAACATTTTAGAACTGAAAAGCAACGAAGTAGAAACAACTATCACAAAATAATCTCTTTACAAAGCTTAAATTAGATTATGATTTCTCTTTAAAAAATAAAAAAGCAACCTTATGATTTCACTTAAAAGTATAACCAAGTTAGAAATAGAATGAACCAATATATAGATTGGATTAGAAAAGAAAAACAGCAAACAACCAGTGACATTATTACCCAGAGTGTCTAAGGAAAAATACAGCACTGAATGCCTGAAAAACAGTGGATAGGTTGAAGTCGTTTCAGGGGTTTTTTACCCCTTCTTTCTCTTTTATCTCTGTATGGTTACATTGGCCTTAACATCCCAAGTTCCTTATTAATAAACTTGTCCTTGCAACAACAGAAATAGGGTCTTATTATTTAAAATCTTTATTAGAATAAACATCCATGAAATCAAAAGCTCCAGTGATTGTCTGAACCATTCTTGACAGCCATCTTATAATGATCGACATGTGCACTGAAGAGGAATAAGGAAGGAGGAGAAATGGGGTACAGAAGACACTTAAATCTAGAATTCTTGCTGGGTTACCTTCTGTATTGTTCCACGGAGTGAGGCCAACTCCAATTCATCCAGTGGTAGCTGGCGTATCTATGACCAACACAAAGACAAAATAAAAGTTGGTACTCAATTTACTCAATTTGTTATTACTAATAAGCTCAACTAACAAGGACCAAAATAGGAAAACAAAGAATATTTTGCTTAAATACAGGTACCTCCAAGCTAGCAGAATGAAATGGCTGGAAGCAAATGTTTGCTTTTAGTTGCCCCTTTTGAAGGAAAAAAGACAGCAACTGTCCACTTTGGGAATTATCTTCATTATTAGGCTTCAAGGGTCCAACAAACTCCATTACAAGACTTTCATCTGGCCTACCTGTGGCATCCAACTGCACCACCAGAAAAATCTCATATTTAAGAATGAACTGTAAGAAACAGGAACGAGCAATAATAGGGGATCAATATAGTCAATCAACAGTCAACGCCAACGTCCAACTCTTTCTTTAGCTCTATCTGATGACATCTCATTAACCACAGCATTCACAAAATTAAAAAAATTAAAATTAAAAGATCCCTATGAATTATTTACCGTGATTTCCATTCCCAGAGCATAGGCATGCAAAAATATGCAGCAGAAACATATGTCTAAAACTTGACTTAGGCACGTGGACATGCCAAAGCAATCTATAACTTTCAAACTTGAGAAGTCCGCTCTCTAAATCTTTGACATGCTATTTAAGAATAAAATTACTCATATACAAGTAGCTTCAGCCCGCTAAAAGCTATTAAGTCACAAAGGGCTTCCATGATAAGATAGAATATAATTTTAAAGCTTATTACCAGTTATACTCTACAATGCAAAACATCAGGAATAAATGAGTCAACATATTAATTCAAAGGTTAGAGTGGCAACAATTGACTAGAAGATCAGCTTAATATATTGAGCTCCATTACAAGAAAAATGAGAGGTGAACTGAGGTGCCAACAATTGACTAGAACATCAGCATAAAGATTCTTTGCATTACCTTGATACACTCACGCGACATGCTCAATGATCCAGCCAACTGAGGTGCCAACATCAACTGATTCAATTTAAGACCTGAAATGGAAACCTCTCCAACAAGACTGTCTGTCTTTCCTTTATCTGTCATTTCCACAGGTTGCTTATTCCTCTCAAAACCAAAATCTTGTCCATTATCAATATAAGGCTTTAAAACCTTTCCCTGAAACTTGATCTTGCCTGTTGCTTTCAAATGCATAGGTTTCGGAGAATCAAAAGGATAAGGAGATACCAAGTTGAAAAACTCAAAACTACGCATACGCAAATCCAAGTCAATTCCCTCAACAACAAATGGCATGGCACTCTTTGCATCAGCATCTCTTCTCCGTAGCCAGTCTTCGTCAGTGTAAGATGTTTGAACTTTTGAGGACAAGTCGAAAGCAGCAGATGAGGAATTAACAGTAATGGAATCATGCGAGATTATGATATCTCCTCGAGCATCACTGAAGGACCCTTCAGCTTTTGGAGCTGTCCATTTAATGTCAAACCTCCTGCATTAAAAATATAAATAAATAATTGGAACACAAGTGAGTGAACCTAAAGAATGACCGACAACAAATGCAGACTATCATCAGCATCATGTAAATTTTTATTAAAAAAATACCATAACAAAAAGCAGATGAAGCAAATAAGCAACATCAATCATTCTTGATCAACAGTTAGGAAAGTAGACCCAGGAATCTTACGGCCTCAATAGTGATCCAGAAAGTTTTGTCTCCCCATTTAAATCCCCTAATTTGAGTGGCATTAGTTGAAGATACCCAGGTACATATCGATGCAGAATTTTATCAAAGCACAAACTTCCGGAGAAATTCACATCCATTGATGTATCATCAACCTCACCCTGTGCAGAACATCACAGGATTAACTTTCAAAATAGAAATGTTAGAGTGCATCATCATTACAAACACTTCAACTCAATATGAAAGCTAAAACATAGCATTATAGGTCGAATAATCCCCATGGAAAGAGGCAGACAGGGCCTGCTAGTATAACGACTCGCTAAGATGAATCTACAAAAGCTTGGCCAAAATTTCAACACAAAACAAAAGTCCATCTCATCATCAATCATATACCTCAGCGCAAATCCATGCATTCCCTGCCCCTCGAATTTCACCTCCATCTACAAGGCTAGCTCTTATTCCATACAAGTCAGCAACCTATAGAAAATTAAAAATAATTACAATAATATAGATACAATGGCATGAGATAAGAATTACCACACAATTTTGGACATAAGCATTTTAGTTTCTCCTCACAAACTTACACAGCTATCAGTGTTAAAAGTGAAATTGGCCGACACGCATGAAAATGGTACACGATCAAATGCTGCTACTGCACCAGCTTCCTTACTTTTCAAAACTGCTTCTGATGCCGAAGATGGAGGAAAATCAGAAACTGATTGAGAAATCCTTCTAGATACCATTCCACTTCCCACAAATATAGGAGCATCCAATGGACCTTGACAGTTAAACACAGCAGTCACTGAACCAGCCAGCTGCATGGGAGTAATTCAAAGAGAGACGGTCAATATGACATATATCACCTCACCTATTATCACTGCATTATTTCTTGTGGGAACTAAGTAAGCGAAACTAACGCATCCGACGTTATAATGAGGAATTAGGAGAAATCATAGTGGGCAATGTAAAAATGGCTAATGAAAGCATTTGAAACAATTCTTTAAAGACGTGAATCAAACTTTAAAAAATGAAAAGAAAAGAAAAACCGAGAAAAGGCGGAATATTTGAAACCTCAAATATTAAATATTAGCAGTCGAAGATTTTAAAACACATACGATATGATTTGTACCACATTTGTAGCCTTAGTGCTTCAGAGTTCAGGCAGTTGAGGATGCCATACATGTGTTGGCCAATGTATGACACTCGTACAGACTTTTAAAGAGTTTTATTTCAATTAACTACGATTAAGAAAAAGTTCTATTAAGGCTGTCATGCTAATTTAATAGATGTTTGCCTCCATGACTGTCACATGCAAGAAGACACTCTTCCATCGATAATGTGTTAAAACTTCACAAAGACACATATAAACAACAATGTGCTCCTGTCAGGAAAATGCTAGTTTCATATCCATGTCAAAGTGTGGCAATTGCGTCCATGTTTAGACCTTCCCTTTTAAAAGGAGAAGTCATGGGTTCTACCGTCCACACATGATGGGACCAGGGAGAAGCTAGCATCAAAATTGCAGCCTATTATTTCTGTGTTATCAAATAGGGAAAAGGAAAAGACAGATGCAACATGCATACACAACATACACATACCGGAAACAAGAGAGGTTTCATCTTGAAAGTTCTCATCAAGGCATTTACTTCCACACAAGAAACCTGTAAAATACAAAGATTACTAATTGGGTGCAGTATAATTAAATAAAATAGAAGGGAAATCAAATAAGACATTTCAAGTTGCCAGTTCAAGCTCAAAGGAAATGCATTCTTATCAAAGCCATGATCCTAGAAAGAATTGAAGGTGTTCAGAACACTTAGTGTAAGCTACATAAAATATATCTAGAACTGGTAAGGAGGATCATCAACTCAACTGACAAATGCATATCCTGATGGCCTTCAGTAGCTTCTTATTAAAACAAATTATTTATCTACTTCTACATAACTGAACAAAAGTTAGGAGTTCTTGTACCACACACTCCAATAAGCATCTCCAAAAGCATACCTGACACATAAGATGAAACTCTCCTTCCTCAGGATGAATACCAAAATCTCCAGAAGCTTCCAGGGGAACATCCCCAAACCAGCCACTTGCATTGTGTAAGAATATTCGTTGGCCACGGAAACATAAGCTCGCTGAAATGTCCTGCATAAAAGAGACACATGGTACAAAAAATTTCAGATTTCAAGGAAAACATGACGGACAATAAGCATGATGGATGTTTTCAACCGTAAACCTTTTGCATGATTAGAGAATATATGGCTATTGTGTTTTGCATAATATGTGCTGTTACAAATAGTAACATGCAATAAGACAAGTTTGAAGTTAAAAGATCGAAGCCCTGGCAAAGCAACTGCAAAATGCATCAAAACACACTCCATTATATCATTTACTGTTTGGACAGCCTTAGGAGATTATATATATCCTGGTTTGTGACCTACCAAGCATATTTGGCGGGAATAAAACATCCACCCCAACAAGCATTTTACATCCATAAAGATTCAAGAAAAAATAATTTATAACCGAGACATACAGAAAACGAAGATGGAGCATCAATTGTTTGAAAAGCCAACCCTGTCACATCAAGCTGTCCATGAAGATTTGGAAATGTTTCTCCTCCTGACATGCACAAGTGAACCTGAAAAAAGTGGGGAAGTATATAATATATCTCAAGATCAACAAAACATGGATCTTTTTCCTCCTACCTAAATGTCAAATGAGAAATTACAGTTTCAAGAAGAAAATGTTGCATCTCGTGGTTTCAGATGTGCAAAATCTTATATCAAATTAGGAAAAAAAATGAATAATCAAGAAGCAGCAATTGCCTCACAGAATGAATTCAAGTAATTACTTCAGCAACAGAATCAAAATAACCCATTTAGAGGCATAAACTGGAGATGCGCCCCCATCAAATTTAGAAGAGGAAAACAAAAAATTATACATTGAAGTTCGAGAAGCACCTCACCAGTGGCTCTTCCTTTGGACCAATTTATTGGAATTTCTAAGATCCGTTCAAAAAGCTGCAGAAGAAGAGACAACCAGCACACAAGGCACATGAACAAACTTTATGACCTCAGATTGGAGACAAAAAGGTGTTGGCAATCTCAATTAGGCATCATATTTACTTTGTAGTGTCTCCCTTACCGGAACAAAAAGGTTGGCAATTTTTAAGTTAGCATGCCATTTCTGTTCAACAATGTCAACAAAAACATCTGCAGACAACCAGCCACCATCTTCAGATAAGTTATCGGACCTCCACATCTGACAGTTTCCACTAAGTTGTACATGAACCCGACCATAGTGATTTTGAAACTTCACGTGTCCATCAACGTTCTCCATCACACTATAAACATTGTATTAAAATCATAGATGCTCAACTTAATGCAAAATTTTCTTTTTATAAACTTTGCATAAGTGGATGCATTGTCATTATACACAGAAAAGTTTACCATATTTTAATTAGGAAGCCTCTTAAAAGATGAGTATCCTAATGATTATAGATAAACCTCTATCCTATATGCCAAAATTCCAACAGCAATAAAATTTTCAGGCAAAGCCAGCATCTGTTGCATAAGTAAATAACTTTTTATGATAAGAGCCAGCAAAACAATTATGTTATTCTCAAGAGTAAATTAAGAAAATATATAATTGAGTGGCCCTACCGAGGTTCCCTGTCACCATATGCAAGTAGCATCAGCGTTCCTCCTTTGAAATGTACTGAATCTAGCGTAACTGGAAGCATCTTCTCAATGCCTTCAGATTGCACAACACTGACCCCATCTACGAGTTCTGCAACAATATTGTCAACTCTGGTTCCCATGCTAGACGTCAGCTTTTGAATGGAACCAGAGAGAAGATGTGATAATGGCTCTCCGGAATTTCTAGAAAAAGAGGGAAAGCCTAATTTCAGGCTTAGGGGCCAGATAGGAACTTGATCATACGTTGCAACCGAAGGTAGTATGGAAGTTGAATTTTGCAACGTTTGACCTGCTTGCCTCTCAGATATCTCATCATCAGTATGCTTATTAACAACATCAACTCTAGAATCCTCATCTTTTACATTATAACTATTAGTATTAGTTCCTACAGCATTTGCAGAGGGAGCGGAATTTTTACTGGATGTCCCCCCTCCATTAGACCTATTTAAATGTATATAATTCAAACTACTTAAATGACTGTTGACATTCTCATTTTCTTTAAGAGGATGGCCTGCTGAATCTCCACAATGTTTTCCATCCTGGTTGTCATCTCTTGAAGTATCTTCACCAGTACTTGTGATAGAAGTGCCGGCATTAGTTTCAACCACATTGTTCATCAAATAGGAGTCAAGGTTGATCACATCATAACCGCCAGATGACTGTGAAGGCTCGTCAGACTTCCCCTGAGATAGATCCTGAAAATATGCAAGTGCCCTTACTGCACTGGACTGGAGAATTCTTCTTTTGGCAGTAATTCCAGATGCAGAGATATCACTCCCATAACCCTTCCTTTTAAATTTGTGCTTTTTAGGCCCCTTTATCACTCTGGACCAAAATTTAAGCCCTGACCCAGGAATTTTTACACCCAATGATTTCTCCAAATCTGCATGCTTTATTTCATAATCAACACCTGTGTCCATGCAATGATCCCTCCAGTGCATCTTTTCATCCATGCATGGAAAAGACTCAGAACTTGCTAAATCTGCAGAATGGCTATAACCTTGCTTTGAGTCATCTCCTTTTGATGGGCAGGAAGCCTTGTCAGAAACAATGTAGCCCATCTCTGCAGCTTTCTTTGCTGCTTCATCCCTTTCTCTTTCCCAGCGAGCAGCCGCTTCCTCTCTAGAAAGCCTCCGGGTTTTCGTTCGATGATCAATTCCTTCTTCAGTAGATAAGTGTCTCTGTAGACCACCTTCAGATGAGGGTATCCCTAACCAAGTATAATCCTTCTTCTGCGCAACCAAGACAGTTGGATGTGACAAAACTGCATCAATCACAATCCTTCCCCTCCTTAGACTTGCAAAAGGACAAAGGCGAAGTTTCATAGATGGGACCTCACCACAAGAAAATTCCTCACTATGAGGCCCAACCGAACAGGACTCCAGCGTGATGCTCAAAGGTGATAGCCTTCGAACCTTACCAAAAACAACTTCACGCTGAATATATTCACTGAGTACTGAACAAACAGAAGGCAAAAGCTTGTCTTCAATAAAACCCTTGGCTTTGGATTGGCCATACCATACCAATAAACATACACCAGATATCACGGCCAAAAATACAGAGCACCTAACTAAAAGTAACCCCTCTTCCCACAGAGGAGACAAAGACCTCACCAGAGCCTTGCTTCGAGAAAAAGGCTCCTTAACACATTGTACCTTCATCCCATTTTTCAGCTCGAAGGTTCTCCTTAACAATTCCACATTTTTCCCCCATAACTGTGAAACTCTAATTGCTTGGGTAATCCAATAATTCTGCTTTTCACATACACACCTGCGAGGAGCCCTTTTTGCCACATGCCCTCTTTCCCAACAAATGAAATTTCCATTGTTTCTACCATTTAGAGAACTGTGAAGTGAAACCCCAAGAAATGGGCAATGGAGTTTTCCACTCATTGTCTTCCCTTAGGCATCAAGATCCAATTGCAAGTCATAGGCCAGGGACCAAGAGCTGCTCTTAGTCCCCTAACAAGTCAGAAAATCACGAAATGGCAAGACATTTGAACCCTATGGAAATAGATGTTGATTTTCAATTAATACTTCACACCAAGTACAGAACTAGCATCAAATGGATAGAAAGTAAAAGAGATAATAATCGTTATTCTAGTTACAAATCTTGAAAACATTGTTCAACAGTAAACACAAAGCCTTGAACAACCCAAGAACTACACAGAAATTGGGAGTTGCCATTCAATTAAATCACTAATAAGAAAAAACAGCCCTAAAACCGCTCGTCACTCTCACTCCGGAGCAGAGTACCAAACACAGAGACTCTCTCTACTCGTTTTGCACCCAAAACACATAATCAAACACGAAATTTCCAACTTTTCTGTTCTACTTTCATTTACCGAAACGAAACGCAAGCGTTTGAAGAACTTAACGAAGAAATGAAAACTTGTGAGCAGAAAATGGAACCTGGAGTGTTGAAATGAAACATTTTCGCTGAGACTGGTTGTAGGCTTATTGCAGGTGTTGCTTGCGGGTTTGTTTCAGTTGTTTGCTTCAGAGAAAGGAGGAGAGAACCAAAGAGAGACAAAGAAGAAGAAGGCTTTGGGCCTTTTCGTTGCGGCTTTGCTTGAATTGCCCGTTTGTTTATAGGCTTATTCTCCCCCTTTTCAAAAAAAAAAAAAAATTTCTAGTTTTTCTCCTCCTTCATGGTGACAACAACTGGAAATTAAGGGGGAGCATCAATATTTTTGGGTTTGTGACGAAAATGCCACGGTGGAACGCAAGAAATGTCCAAAATGACCTTACATGTCGATAGCGTACAAGGTTGAACTAGAATAATATGGATCAATCATTCTTTTCTGCCCATGACTCTTATTTGGAAAGGGGATGGTGGCAACCTTTTCTCTAACCTTCTCTTTTGAAAGTTCTTTTTTTTTTTAAAGACATGTGTCACTTTTCTTACACTTAAAAATCACTCATTTTCCTTGTTGCTAGGATCAGCCACAAGTGAAAAGTAAGAGGCGTTTTAAGTTATAAATCATTATATTCGATTTCCCAACCTAGCTCCCTTGTCAATTCCCTTTTATCTCCTAGCAAGTACCACTAGAACAAACGTCGAATTTGGGGAATCTGATTTAATTTGACATCAAATCAAACCCCGGCAAGGTATTAGAGCCCCAAATCAAAACCAGCAAGGATAAAAATGTCTAAAGGTTGTTGATTACAATAAAGTTGAAAGATGTAACAGATGCACCCACAACTGGCATACCTAATATTTTAAACCAAGGCTCAGATTATTGGGTTTCAGTTCAAGAGGAAAACTCACTCCATTAGAATGCAATAATTTCTCATTGTGTCCATTCATACACAATAAGTTCGTAACAGAGAAATGGAGGAAGAACTAAAATACAGAGAGCTATCAAGTTAACGACTTTTCAGGGAATAATATCCAATGAGCAAAACTGGCTGATTCATACGTCCCATGACAACTGAGCAAAAAAATGATCGAGAACAGTGAAACGGAAACTTCCTATTAGTCCACCACAATGAAATTAAAGGTCATCTTTCACAAAACCAGCACCATACCCACTCTTTATTTCGCACAACTTTGGTCATATGAACAAAGAGAAATTACATGTTCATATATAAGATGTTGAACGAAACTGGGCTTTTACCGCACGGGCTGCTGGTTGTAATGGTTCTTCTCTTTCTTCTTAGCTGCAGCAAGCCGTGCTCTCCTAGCAGCAGCCTCTTGAGAAGCTGCTTTCGCAGCAGCATCCATCTCTTTACTAGATTTCTTCTTCTTCGCAGTTACAACCTTCTTTAATCTCTCCTTCACATCAACATTTGATGTATCCTCCTCTGTTTGTTCAGCTGCAGTAACTTCACCCTGTCCATTAGTTGCCCCTGAGTTGTTTGGTTGGTCCTGAGATTCTTTCACCTCCTTGGAAGCTTTATCTTTCTTTTTCTTCTTCTTGGCGCTCTTGGACTCTGCGGGCTGATTTTCCTTCTTTTCTCCATCTCCATTCAGCGCACTATCCTTCTCTTGTGCAGCACCTGCAAATGTAACATAACAAAGGTTGAATATTGAACATGAGGTGACACCAAAGAAACCTTGCCTGTAGAGGTTCTGATGCCAAGAATAGATAAATAAAAAAGAAACGAGACTCCACCATCTGCCAAAAGACTAGAAATAAATAAATAAATACCATAACTTCACCTTCAAACATATGTTTGCCAATTGATTCTAAGCTTACTTTAGAATCAATGTGTGTGGTGAATGATAAACAACAAATGTGTTTCAAATGGCGTATTACATACCATACATGAATGTGTAATGTTTACAAAGAAAGTTTAACCATCTTCGTGTCTTTGTATGCCTAAACTCAAATTTCAATTCATAAATAACAAAATGAAATCATTGTAACATTCAGCTTTTATTCTTTCTTAACTTTAGAAAAAAGCACTATAAGAGCAAAACTGAACCAAGCAAAAAATTGCTGATCACTATAGTAAAACTTATAGGAAATAATTGTTCACAATTACCACGTGATTCATCTTGACTATCACTCTCCTTTTGAGTAACTCCAAAATCAGCCAGAAGGGCCTCAAGTTCTGCAAGTTCCTTTTTCTTTTTTTCCTTTTTTGAAAGTTGCCTTTCTGCCTCCTTAGGTGGCGCAGGAACATCAGCAGGCTTCTTCAGCACTGGCTCAGGGTTTACTGGCACCTCTGGTTCATTATCATGCTCTTCCTCTACATCATCATCACCTTCATCAAGAATATCTTCTTCACTCTCACTATCCTGTAACCAGAAATTGACAAGCAGTTATAAGAATTTCATTCAGGTTTCATCAGTTGCCTGCAATGTTGTGACAAATGTATAACCATACAAAGTGAAATGCAAAGTCCAATAGAAAAGGCCATCTCAATGAAACAAAGAATGTTGTGTAAACAACTTATGAAAATAAAGGAATGGGTATTTATGAAACATACTCGGCTACATTTCAGCCTTCGATTCCAACTATTTTGCCCTTCTCCTCACTTTGAAGGTTAACTAGCAGCCAACATAGCTACATTGTAGAAGTACAAATGCAGTCCACCTTGAAAACTCATGTTACAACCATTTACAGACACTCGCATACACAGAGTATCTCCTCATTCCACACGAAACCTAATCACTTTTCACCCATCGAACTCCATCTTTAACATTTGGATAACAATATGAATTACAATCGCTTTGCTTCTGCATTCCTTATAGCAGATAGTTTGATCTCCACCAGAAATCAGCACTTTGATCACAATAACAAATCTTAAGATATGCCACCACGAACTTCCTCCTTAAACAACCAACAAGCCAAACTAAGAACATTCCCCCAGCAACTCATTAGCTTGGTTTTTCTTTTTCTGGAAAAACCACCAACCAACGTTTTCCTCTATTAAGCCAAAGTCTTGCAAAGTTGGCATTTCCATAGTTCTTAGAGTAACATCAATACCCAACTACACTATCTCTATTCATCAATTCATTTCCGTCTATCAGAAAATATCTTTAGTGAACAAAAATCAAACAAACTAATGAATAAAACACAAAATTCTGATACCAAACATCAACAGAAAAAAAAACAAAAATTAAGCGAAGGTCTGACCTCTACATTTGGCCTGTCCTTATTCTGCTGGGGCTCCGAAGGTCCCCAAACGGATTGAGGCGGAGCCGTTGTGGCGTAATAGTCATCATCATCTTCGTCATCCACATCGGCCCACGATTTCGCGTTCAAGGGAGCCGGAGCCCAAAAAACCTGGGCCTCGGGCGCCTTGGGCTGGGCCGACTGGGCAGACTTGGAGGACCCTTTGCTCTTGCGATCCTTATCGGACTTCTTCTTCTTCCTCAGAGTCTCAAGCGCCGCGAACACGTTGGTGTTGTTGATGACCAGCGAGCCCTCGTCTCTCCTGCTTCCACCGCCAACCATCTCTGTTTCAACAACTCGAGATCAGCCAAACTATGCGGGAACCGAGAAAATGCGTGTGAAGCCTGGCGGTTTTTCAATTCACAAATTTGCAATACTCTATTATCGCGAAAATTGAATAAGCTAAACTTTGTTTACAATTAGGGTTTCGAGCCTTTGATGAACGGAAACCAAACAATATTATATATCAAAAATTAAAAGATAAATTAAACGGACGAAAATTCTCGGAGTTCTGGTGGTGTCAAAATTTTGATCGTGGGAAATCGAGAGAGAGTCGGAGATCGGAGAGTTGGCGGGGATTGTGAGGGCTGGTTATGGAAGTGAAGGGAAAAATTGGGGTTTGGAGCAGACGGTGAAATTAGGGATTGGGATTATTAATATGAAGAGAGAATGAGGGAGAGGGAGCTATGGAGGATGAAGGGGGATGAGTTGGTTACGTTTGCAAAGTAGGGCTAAATTGAAGAGGACTGGATAACGTAATGGAGTGCCGAAGAGGAGCTTATATAGGTGGCCGTGTTTTTGCTTTTTACCAATTGGTCCTCCAACTTATTGTTCTTCAAACTAGTCCCAATGTTTATGGGGTAATTTCAAGCTGGTCTCAACTTTGTAAAACATTTCAAACTAATACCAATGTACGTCCTCTGTTTTTTTTATTTTTCTGCTTTTGTTTTTTGTTTGTTTTTAATATTTTCATGTTTTCTGGTTTTTTTATTTTTATTCTTGTGTTTTGTTTTCATGTTGTATTATTTTTATTTTCATGTTTTACTTTCCATAAGCCAAGCATGTTCAATCTTGGATTCCTTCTCTTTGCAATTGAAAAGCAACACGTTTTTCTATTAAAACAAACCAAGTACCACAATTTTAGAAACTGTATACGTATACAATGGCGGCAATAAGGTATGGACGTCCGGAGAAGAATTGTAAGTATAATTTATGTATATAGTCAAAATAATTTTTTTTTAAACTTCAGTGCCTAGACTCCATTGACGACTTTTCTATTATTAACTACTAGCATCCTCCCCAGTGGAAAAAAAAGTTCTTTTTTCTAAATGTTATTTCATATTTGATTTTTATCCATTTACCATGGATGCACCTTTTTACAGTGGAATATTCATCTTCAAGAAATAGGGCGTACGTAACCATGTAACTAGAATTAAGAAAATATGTTACCAAATAGATTTCATCTAGGTCAAAGTTCGGCAGAATTGGTCTCCAAGGGTTTATCTAGGAAAGAAAAAACAAAATAACACAAAGAAGCTACTCTTTTTTTTCTCTTACCTTTTTAACTTTACTCGCAAAAAGGAAGCATCTATACTTCTGCTAGGGTCAGTAGAAGGCAGTCTTCCTGGGAACTAAAATCCAAACAGATATATTTCTACCCAAAAAAAATCCAAACAGATATGAACAATAACAGAGCAGATAAATGAATAGTTTTTGCCAGTCGCATTGATCTCAACAAATTTTACAATTACATGTATCCCGTACATATATATATATATATTACAATACGGAAAATCAGGTACTAATCTCGTTTATGCCCGCGTGAACATCTGATCAAGCAAAAAGAGGATACGAAAAGAATGGAAAGGGCCTATCGACAGTAAAAATACTAAAAAGCATTGTCAATTTCTTCCTTCTTTTTAATGTCTTTGCAATGACTATGCCACAAAAAATAGGAAAACCATGAGGAAAAAAATTAGTACAAAGAATATCTTGATCATCAGCCACCTATTAGATGATATGCTATTCAGATACTTGAGCAGTGCCCCTTGTGCGCCCTCCACGTTCGCCAACGTGTCATCCATGTTCTCATCAATCCTGCAGGAAGAAATGCCTTCATCAAGATTCCCGTTTAATCAAAGTCAAGTGTTAGAGGAACACTACTTATAGGAAAACCATCTCTGTTTGTCAAAGTTGCACTTTTCAACCATGCAATAAACAATTATACGCCCATAGCTATCAAAGTCATCAGAAACACCTGACAGATGCAGTAGGACCATCGAGATTAGCAATTTCCACAATAAATTTTCTGTCTGACTAGAAACCTTAGGACCATCTGGAAAAAAAAAAACTTGGGACCAAATGAAAACTACAAATATACATATAGCAATTGTACTGAATGGATGGAAACCTGCTATCCATCTTATCGGAAAAAATGTTTAACAAGTGAACTATAAGCAGGCTTCAATTTTCCATCTATAATCTGCTTGAGTAAACTGTCAGAACCCCCAAGGTCAGAGACAAACCAATTCACTGGGCAATACTTTTACCCATGATCAACGGTAACTTGTTACTCAGATTCGTTGGACTAAATGATTATGTCTTGGGTCAAACGGGGGTCAAATGGAGCTCAAATATCAGATAAGTATTATTTCTTAGATTGTGATGTCCTTAAACAATAGAACAATTTAACATAACATTTAGTGGTTTAGAAAGGATGATGATTATAATGACTGTGATATAGCAAAATTAACAATCACCTGACCAGTAACAGTAAAAAATGTAGTGTGTGAAATACCTAATAATAAAAAGTGATCCATCTGTTTAGAACACAACCACTGAATTCCACATCAAAGTAAGATACGGGAATTAGATTAAAACCTGATGGCAATCTCCCCTTGCTGAGACACCAAGGTCGCCAGCTGGTTGAAAATAGTGCTTAGCTCATGAATAGTGGACTCAACATTTTGCAAAGCTTCAGCTCTGCTCTGCATGTAACTATCTTGCAACGGAACCATCTCCTGTTGTTGCTGTTGCTGTTGCTGTGGCTGCTGGAGCAATGGCTGACTCTCCCCATCCGTCTGCTTCCTGTAAAATTAGAAACCAATAAATGTTCCACAAGATACAATCTCAAATTTTGATCACTGAATCAAGTCATCTCAACTTAAGAAGTTACAGGCCCCACAACAGAAGCAGATCACAATCAAAAGTTTGAAAAACAAAATCCTAAAGAAATGGTCAAACAGCTATGAAAGAATAAATAAATTAGTTTAGAATTTGATACTGTGAACTGAGATAATCTTTAACATCATAACCAAAAAAAAAAAGGGCGAGAGACAGAGGGGTCAGTAATTTTCAGGATGTTCAAGAAGAAGAAAGGGTGCGTGCAGTTGCGACAATTATTGAGAAATTCAGGGAAAACAAACCACAATATTGATAATGCAACAATCACAAAAATCTCCTATGCACTTGATGTCTGATAAACATAGCTACTCATGCACTTAAAGGGTATCAGTTATCCACAACTGAACAAAAAAATGCAAAAACAAAAAAATTACTCTCTTACTTGGGGAACAACTGTGATGAAGATGGTGATCCATTAGCCCATGGAGGAGGAGAGGCACTTGAAGAACTAGCAGCTGACCTGGCAGCCAGTGGACGCTGACGAACAAAAGGATTTGCAGCATCCTTAGATGTAGAAGCAGAAAACAATTGTCTTCTATTCTCATGAACCTTCATATTCTTCACGAAATCAAAAGAAAAGATATGTTAGTCTTAGAAAATAACCTAAGGAGCAGCAATAGCAGAGCTCTCTCATACTAAGATCACCAGCCTAACTGGACAGGAATTAATATTCAGCAACATTACGCCTTACCTCAGTCCGCATGGTGAGGACTTCTTTAAACTCTTTTGTAGTGCTCATAAGCCGATTTTTCAAGTCATCAACAACTGTGCTTGAATGACTAGTCGTGTCACTAGAAATATTCCCACTGTCATTTCTGGAGTTGGATAGAAGCTGAAGGTCTACCACTGCAGAGTTAAGTGCAGTAATATCCTGCTTGATAACTGCTGTCAGCTCCTGAATTTCCCTGGTAGGGTCATCAAACACGGAAGTCCTCTTTGCCACTACATGACAAGACAAATACCTTAAAATAAATAGATAAACATTTCTCAATCATAATTAACTACCGCAATAGCAACACAAAAACCACCAATATTCAAAAAAATTCTACGCCCTTCCAGGTAGTCACACTTTAGAGTGGAAAGAAATTAAACCTAATTTAATCATCATCAGGAACATTCCAAGGAGGGGATGAAGCCTGGTGCATCAGCTCCCAATCTACCAAATAGAGGGTTGAGAACAGAGGCAACGCCCTATGTCAGTGTGATTATATATTATATTAGGGGTATGGTTTTGCAACTTTGAGCCTCGAATTTCCTTTTAAAAGTCAGGTGCAGAGTTCGTGCAGAAATGCAACTGGTTCTTGCTTTCGATCAGAACATGAGAATATGTTAAAGTCATTCATGACAACAAGCACAAGTTAATGACTGCTCCAGAGACCTTTTTCAGACATAAGTTAAGCAAACACGAAATAAATTTGCAAGTCTCCAATTTCAAACAAAAACAACAAAAACAATTACAATTGTACTACCAATCATCAATAACTCACACTTAGTCAGCTTTCCAAGCTTCTGCGATGTCTGGTGTATCCCGTACCCGATTTTGGAAGCCCTCTTATTGAACTCGGACTGAACCGCAACCACGGAACGTTGTTCCTCGAATTTCGATTTCGATCCACTACTTGGCCCATTCTGCCCCGACCCTGGTCCTGATGAGAACGACTTTTTTAGCCTCTCTGCTACACTCTGAAACTCCTGCGTCCGATCCCTAAAAGACGATTGTGCCGCTTTCGCATGCATTTTCCAGACCCTAAATTTTCAAATTGCAATTCTACAATAGCATAACCACCTGAAACCGCATAAATTCACTCCAATACTCAAATGCCTGCTCAATTATACATTTTATATCATATAAGTGTCATAGTTTCTATTTGGCCTAGGTGATGCGAAATTTGATTGAAAACCCATATCAAAACCCTCATTTTGTTCGGCCTTCCCATCTTTCTCGGCATCCAAACAGCAAAAAGGGAAATTAAATCAGGAAATAGCGAAATTACCTCCGCGAGAGCGAGATCTGAAACCCTAGACCCGCGGAATTGAAGTTCTCTTAGCAAAGTGAAGAGAAACTGATTCGGGAAAAGAGCTCGCGGGAAGGTGAACCGCTGCGTCTGGATCGAGATCGCGCGAATGCGAGTTCACGTGTGTAAATGTTTGGGGGTGAAATTGAAGAGATTTTGATGCGAGGTTGGATCTAAATCTAATGCAAATTTAATCTTGCGGGAAACAGAGAACACTTGTTGCGCGTCGTGGAGTTGTAGCTTAACAAAATTTTGTTATTCTGACCAAAAACTAAAAACTAAATAAACAAACTAAAATTTACTGCAATATCGTCGGATGGGAATTTTTGCAGAATGGTCCCTTGATTTCTATTTAGTTCTTTTCGTACCATATGGATCCAAGAATCTCTTGGAAAATTACAGATGTACATTGTTTTATTCATTTATTTTTTGGTGAGTGTTAAGTTTTTTTTGTTTGGAAGTAACTGAGTATTTTAATTTCATGTGTATTCATTTAAGATTTTAAACAATTTTAAAGAAGTTTAAAAGTCTATGAGCATCAATTAAGATTTTATAAAAGTCTTGAAAAATCTGGATGTACTCAATTTAGACTTTTTTATCTATTCAAATTTAGTTGTATTCAATCATAAATTTAAAGTGTATTCAAGTTGGGTGTAGTGAGATGTTGTTTTTACAATCATATTACTTTATTGATTTATATTGTACTACTTTTAGCCAAAAAAAGGGAGTATAGCCGAGTAGAAAAATGTATTGACTTGCATACCATTGTCTTATATTCGAATCCTTATATAGGTGAAACTTATTTCACCATTTATGCAATAGAGAAATTTCAAGCAACAAAATACGACATGTTTGCAGACATGGGTTTAGGCCCCGTTTGGGAATTTATTTATTTTTTTACAAATTTATAAATAAACTCAATCCTAGACATGTATTTATAAAAAAACCTAAGCACTATTTAAATATAGAAACACACCCAAAATCAACCCCAAAGTCAATTTTTTGGGTGTGTTTATAAATGGGTTTTGAGTGTGTGTAATGATGGGTTTTGGGTGTGTTTATATGTTTAAATAGTGCTTGGGTTTTTTTATAATTTCAACCCCCATTTTGGGTGTTTTAGTGAAACTCCCTTTATTTTTTGGGGCCACAAATATGCTTTCTTTTAAGTTAAGCAATTTAAGGTGTTTGGTAAAAATAAAATATCCCGCTTATTTTTAAAACAATGGCAGCATGTTTTAAAAGCATGTCATGTGATGGTTTTCAAAGCTACTTTCAAAAGAAACAGAGATGAGCTTGTAATGAATTTTTTTAATTCCCAAAATACCATCATTAATTTTAAAAAATAACACTACCTTCACTTCCACATCTAACTCTACCACCTTTACCACCACATTCATCACCTCTACCGCCACGACCACTACCACCGTCTTCACATCCACAACTGCCATCCCCACCACCACCAATACCATAACCACCGCCTTCACCTTCATCACCACCACCACCTCTACCTCCACAACCGTCATCCCACCACCACCAATACCATAACCAGCACCTTGACCTTCACCACGACCACCACCACTACCACGACATGATTAGCATGTAACACTCTCAACATCATGTCTATTTTAGTCATTATTCACAGTTACAACAATGTTATATTAAAATTTACGAAACAGTTTTGACATTGTTTTTTGTACTAACAACACTTTAAAAAATTGTTCACTAAAAACATTGAGCTAATTTACTTTACAACTAATTATTTTCAAAGCACATCATACACAACTTTTTTAAAAAGTAACAGCAATTCCAAACTGCCCTTTAACCAAGTTCACTATAACGGATGTACTTCCCACTCTACACTCGATATTGAATCTCTCTCTATCTAAGTTAAATTTAGAATATGAGACCATTTTTCACAAAATAGAGCATTTCACAAAAGTTAATTAATAAGAAATTTTACATATTCTGCAGCAGTAAAAAACCCTTCATTAAAGAGTATGAATAAAGATACTACCAAAACCTAGATTATATTACAAATCACAAAATTTAACTTCATTGGTTCCATTTAATCGAGTTATGAAATTTCAATTTGACATGACTATGAGAATCATCAAAGAACCTCATTTTTTGAGTTGGTATTTGGTAATGTGAAATGTAGTTTTGACATGATTAACTTGACAAAAGTTTGATCGCACAAGAAAAACAATATGTGTTTCAATGTTGATATGATCATCAAATTTTGCTTACAAAAATAATGCAACAATTTATCGTTTCTTCAAATCTAGACATATTATAAATTTTATAAGAATATAGTTTAATGAACAAAATTGATCAACTTAGCACTATTGTTGTTGTCAACATATGATTAAACTTTCTTTCCTACAAGTTATAAGTATCGATTTTTACTTTACGCATAATTCTCAATATTTTCATTTAAAACAATAATAAAATTTCAAAATGCATGCAAACAATTCATACTTTATGCACCTCACACCTCATTAAAATATTTCACATTCAACTTTCGACCTCATTAAATTTGTCCACCATGTCGACAAAATTTAGGCCATGAATCATTTTTACATGTTACACATCGCAATTCTTCCTTCCCAATGAAGGAAACTTTAGGCCGGTGGGTCATATTCACATGAAACACATATGCGATCGGTTTCACCACCCAGCAATTAGAGCGCGACGTAGACAATTACTGCTCGCTGCTTCCCTGTACCTGCTTATTTCGTTTGTTTCCTTTGACCACGTCACTCCGTGCGGTTATATTGGCTTCCGGGCGCTGCTAGAAACGCCCGCTTCAACACTGTGTCACGCGCTCCTGCAACCTCTTTTGATCGACCCAAGCTCGTTACCCACCATGTGTCGCTTCCTTGAAGCGAGTTTAAAATGACACATATTCTAGCGAGTAGCTCTGGTATTTCCCTTCTGGCGCCTTATTTCTCAAACGCAATGGCATTCCCGATATTTCACGAACAATGAGGCCGAGTTTTAAGTACCGCAAACCAACTCTTTTCATTAATTACTATTTTTCAAAAAATTATGAATATTTATCCAATCTGAACCGTTCGTTTTTTTATATGAAATCTGACCGTCCATTTTCAGCTTATTTGGCACGAAATTGTTAAGCTCTAGCCGACTATGATACAAAGTGAAGCGGAGGAATTGAGTTCCCCACATCAGACTTACCAATCGGACGTTCCAGATATCGCCACGTGGTATTATCCAAAGGATTCGCTATTTTCCATTTTGTTTTCATTTTTTTCGTTATTTTCGATCAAAACCCTTACTCTCGTGGAACCGAAGAAACCCTAGCTCTCGTCCCGTCTCTTACGGTGAGAAAAAAAGCTGAAATTTCAACAATTTTCGAAAATTAAATTCGAAAATTGGGGAATTACATTAGGGTTTTAAATCAGGAGGTCAGGAATCGAACCCTAGTTGATGCTTCGCGTTCATGATTTTCTCAATTCGTTTGGAGAACCGATGATTCGTCGTATTACGGTTAAGGTACGCTTCTGATTGAGTTTATTATTTTGAATTTTTATGAAATTTTTAACGTTTTTTCGGAAATGATCTCAATGCGTGGGGGAATAGGGTGTGATCGCTTGGTTTTTGGGTTTTATTTGGGCGACTTTTGTGATTTTTGCCTTGCTTTTGCTGTAACAGATCTGAAAACTGTGTAGGGGCATGTATGATGGAATGTGAAAATTGGGTTTTCTCGGTTTGGGTGCTTGGATTGAGGGATTGTTGATGGAAAATAGAATAGAGAACTCACATGGCACTGAAATTCCCAGGAAATCGAGATCTTTGGATCTTAAGAGTTTGTACAAATCCAGGACTACAAAAGAGGTCCCAACCAAGAGCTTGAAGAGAAAAGGTAGTGCAGAGGATGGTGATGAGAACAGGGACAAGAAGAAGAAGAGTAGAAAAGAGGTGTCTCTCAGTAGTTTGAAGAATGTTAATACTAGTAGCAAGAAGAGTTTAGATGAAGTGTATCATAATGGGTTGAATTCTGGTTTACATGATCCGGAGGCGGTGAAATGTGGGTCGAGCCAGATATTGGATAGCAGTAGTGGGTTTAATGGCGTTTCATCACTTAGTTTGGGTAATAATGTTATTCAAATCCCTAGGCGTAAGCGGGGTTTTGTGGGCCGAAAGAAATTTGAAGGTGGTCAGGTACCGAAGCTGCCAGATCCGTCTGCTGGTAAAGTAGGTCTTGTTGATCAGAATCATCAGATAGCTAAGTTAAATGTTGATGATTTAGGAACTCAAGATGAGTCGTTGAATGTTAAAAGAAAGAAGGGTCTTGATGATTTTAAGGAAAACATAGATAATGAGTTGAATTCAGCACCACATGCTGATAAGGAAGTTGTTCATACAAGTCACTCGGTTGTAAGCAATGGGGATTCATCTTTGAAAAAGTCACGGAGGAATCGTAGGAAGAGGAAGGATGTGGCATGTGATAGTAAAATTGCTACAAAGGAAGCTGAGCCTTTGGTCGATAGTTCCACAAAAACATGCCATGATTCACAAGAAGACAATGGGGAGAATCGGAAGAATCCTAGGAAAAGGAAGGATTTGGCACGTGATGGTAAAATTGCTGCAAAGGAAGCTGAGCCTTTGGTCGATAGGTCCACAAAAACATGCCATGATTCACAAGAAGACAATGAGGAGAATCGGAGGAATCGTAGGAAAAGGAAGGATTTGGCACGTGATAGTAAAATTGCTGCAAAGGAAGCTGAGCCTTTGGTCAATAGTTCTACAAAAACATGCCATGATTCACAAGAAGACAATGAGGAGAATCGGAGGAGTTGCAGGAAGAGGAAGGATTTGGCACGTGGTGGTAAAAGTGCTGCAAAGGAAGCTGATCCATTGGTTGATAGTTCTACAAAAAGTTGCCATGATTTACAAGAGGACGATGAGGAGAATCTTGAAGAGAATGCAGCAAGGATGCTTTCATCAAGGTTTGATCCAAGCTGTACTGGGTTTTCTTCAAACAACAAGGCTTCTGCATTGGAATCTGCGAATGGATTGTCTTTTCTGCTATCTTCTGGTCAGGATTTTGATAGTCGTAGGTCAAAGTCTATTTCTGGGTCAGAATCTCCTTCGGTTGATAATTCTGGTAGAGTGTTGAGGCCGAGGAAACAGCACAAAGAAAAGGGACATTCGCGGAAAAGGCGCCATTTCTATGAAGTTTTTTTGGGGAATTTGGATGCTTACTGGGTATTGAACCGGAGAATCAAAGTCTTCTGGCCCTTGGACCAAAGTTGGTACTACGGCCTTGTGAATGACTATGACAAGGAAAAAAAACTTCATCATGTTAAATACGATGACCGTGATGAAGAATGGATTGACCTTCAAAATGAGAGGTTCAAGCTCTTGCTACTTCCTAGTGAAGTTCCTGGTAAGATAGAACGGAAAAAATCAACTCAGCGGAATAGAAGTTCTGGTGAGAGAAAAGGAAACTTGAAACCCAGAAAAGAAAAGAAAAAGAGAGAGTTGACTTCGGAGGATGATAGCTGCATAGGCAGCTATATGGACACTGAACCCATTATTTCATGGTTGGCGCGTTCTAACCGTCGGGTCAAGTCTCCTTCCTGTGCTGTAAAGAAGCAAAAAACATCAGGTCTATCTTTAAAGTCACCGTTGTCTGATGAAGATGTCATGTTACATGGATCTCTGGGTGATGGTTCATTTAGAAGGGATAAAATTAGAACTTCTCATAATTCTGGCAGATCTGATGTTTTGAGGCAAGAAAAGCCTACCTCACAAGGCAGCACATGCACCAGAGATAGCAAAATGCCTATTGTTTATTTTCGGAGGCGGCGCAAAACTGGGTCTGTATTGTCTCACACATCCAAGGGCAATCATGCCTATGTGAGTGAACTTGGTTCTATTACTTCTTTTGTTCCTGTTATGCCAATGGGCCATTGTGGTATATTGATGATGCAGGGTTGCTAAAGTTGACTCTTCCTCAGACAGAAGCAGGGAAAGTTACTTTTGAGTTAGGCGTTCCGATGCATTCAATTATTAATGATTCTTTTGGAGTAGAATTTTCGTTGTTTCATGCTGCAATGCTGCATCGGTATGGTACAGTAGTGATCACATGGCCAAAGGTTTATTTGGAGATGCTTTTTGTTGATAATGTAGTTGGGCTGAGGTTTCTCTTGTTTGAAGGTTGCTTGGAGCAGGCTGTGGCCTTTGTTTTTCTTGTCCTGGCATTATTTCATCACCCTATTGAACAGGGGAAGTTTCTGGATTTCCAGTTACCGGTAACTTCAATCAGGTTCAAATTCTCTTGTGTTCAGCTTCTTCGGAAGCAACTTGTGTTTGCAGTCTACAACTTCTCTCAAGTGAAAAAGTCAAAGTGGAAGTATCTAGACTCAAGAGTTAGGAGCCATTGTTTGCTCACCAAGAAACTGCCTGTGTCTGAATGCACCTATGATAGTATTCAAGCACTTCAAAATGGAACAAATCAGTCACCTTTTATGTCTCTTTGTGGGCGTCCCTCCTCTGTCAAGGTATTTGTCTTATGTTCTCTACATATTCCGAAAACAATTTTTGGTTTTAACTGATTTTTTTTCTTTCTAGTCTTCTACCTTGTGTAGATAATTATATTGTTTATCAATGTATTTGTATTATGAAGGCATTCACTTATATAATTTTTCCACCAACCAGGGTACACGGAGGAGGTCCAGGCAGGGCATTAACTTCATGGGTAGTTCCAGGGAATCTGCTTTTGTAAATATCAGTCATTCTACTTCTCATTCTGATGAGCATCCCAGAAAACTCCCTCCACTCGCCCTATCTTTTACTGCTGCACCTACTTTCTTCCTTAGTTTGCATCTCAAGCTGCTTATGGAACATTGTGTTGCTAATATTTGCTTTCGGGACCCTGATTCAGTGGAGCTTTTAGGAAACTCTGGCAGTATGTTGGCAGTTGACTGTTCTAGTTTGGAGGACTTTTTTAACAGAGGTTCAAAAATTACTCATGAGAACAATTTAAAGGCTCCACCAGGTAATGCTACTTCTGATCACTCCTTTTCCAAACCAGAAACAGAAACTGCTCTTGCTGTATGCAATGGAGGTTGGACAAAGTCATCTCAGCATTACCAAGATGGTGTTCTTAGTGTTGCTGGATCCTCCACTGTTACTGTGGTCCCTGAAAAGACTGGAACTGATGCAGTTGTCCACCATCCAGAGTCAGATCAATGTTCTTTATCACCAAAGCATTTGGTTGGCAAAGAGAAGTCTGACACTGATTCCCAGTCTTTTTTGAATGGTCTCACTGTTGAGATCCCATCATTTGACCGATTTGAGAAGCCTGTGGATGGGGAGGTGCAAAGTGCTCAACAGCCTACGGATTGTTCTTGGAATATGAGTGGTAGCATTATCCCTAGCCCTAACCCCACTGCTCCTCGAAGTACATGGCACCGAAGTAGAAATAGTTCATCATCATTTGGATACCTCTCACATGGTTGGTCTGATGGAAAGGCTGACCTTTTCCATAATGGGTTTGGCAATGGACCAAAGAAGCCCCGAACTCAGGTCTCATACACATTGCCTTATGGAGGTTTTGATTTTAGCTCGAAGCAAAGAAACCTTCAGAAAGGGATTCCTCCTAAACGAATTAGGAGGGCTAATGAGAAGAGGTTATCAGACGTTTCTAGAGGTTCCCAAAGAAACTTGGAGCAGTTATCATGCGAAGCAAATGTGTTAATCAATGGCAGTGACAGAGGGTGGAGGGAATGTGGGGCACATATAGTATTAGAGCTTTTTGATCATAATGAGTGGAAGCTTGCTGTGAAAATATCAGGGACTACAAAGTATTCATACAAGGCACATCAATTTTTGCAGCCTGGGTCGACAAACCGCTATACTCATGCTATGATGTGGAAGGGAGGAAAGGATTGGATCTTGGAGTTTCCAGATAGGAGCCAGTGGGCACTTTTCAGGGAGATGCATGAAGAGTGTTACAATCGGAATATTCGTTCTGCCTTGGTAAAAAACATTCCTATTCCTGGTGTCCGCTTAATTGAAGAAAGTGATGATCATGGGGCAGAAATATCGTTTCTTCGCAGTTCTACGAAGTATTTCCGGCAGACAGAAACAGATGTTGAGATGGCTTTGGATCCATCTCGGGTCTTGTATGACATGGATAGTGATGATGAGCAGTGGATCATGAAGTTTCAAAATTCTTCAGAAGTTGACAACAGTAGTTCTATAGAGATCGACGAAGAGATGTTTGAAAAGACAATGGACATGTTTGAGAAGGTTGCGTATGCTCAACAGTGTGATCAATTCACATATGAAGAAATAGAAGAGTTCATGGCTGTAGTTGGTCCCATGGATGTGATTAAAACCATTTACGAACATTGGCGAGGGAAAAGGCTAAGGAAGGGAATGCCTTTAATCCGACATCTCCAGGTACTTTCTGAATGTTATTTATTTTATGTGATAACTATACCTTTTAGGTAGTTTAGAATAATGGGACACTCATCTACATTTCATCTCCAGGTACTTTCTCACAGCCAATTTAACTCCTGCTTGGTTCCTGTGCCAAACTTAGTAAACAATATCCACCATTATTATAATAAGATGAACCTGTTTAGGGAGAAGTTGACATTCATCAGATCATATTCTTGCTTAAAAGCTTTAAGTCATTTTCTTTATTGAGAATACTCAGTTTTCCCTGTGGTAGTAACCAGTAATTTTTGAACCCAAATTTAGGATCTTGACAGGGTTATTTTTTCTTATGTAGCTTGTAATTCATGGGGTGGGATGCTTATAGTTATATCTATTAATTCCTGGTCACCCTTGAATTTTTATTTTCATTGTGGAAAAGCCATCTGCCGTTTTGTTTGTTCATTTGAATGCATTACAAATTTTTTATTTTTTATTTACAGCCGTCTGCATGGGAAAGGTATCAACAAGAAGTGAGAGAATGGGAGCAAGCTATGATCAAAACCAATACCATCCTCCCCAATGGATGCCACGAGAAAGGTGCGTCAGTTGAGAAGCCACCAATGTTTGCTTTTTGTCTGAAACCACGGGGCCTGGAGGTTCCCAACAAGGGATCAAAACAACGGTCACAGAAGAGATTTTCAGTTTCTGGACATAGCAGTGGCATGTTAGGAGATCAGGATGGTTTCCATGCTATTGGTAATTTTCTTTACCCTTGGTATTTCAATCAAAATCTTTTCCCTAAATACAAATTTTGACTAATTTCTTTTGCAAGCATCTTTTTTATTGGGTTTTGTTTATTCCCTCAGGAAGAAGATCAAATGGTTTTGCTTTTGGTGATGAAAAAGTTGTATATCCAGGCCACAACTATGACTCTTTAGACGATTCCCCATTGTCTCAAACATCACCTAGGGTATTTTCACCAAGGGATGCAACTAACATCTTGATTAGCAATGATGGGTTTGAGAGGAATCATCTACATAGAATTCACAGAAGCAAGTCAAAGAAATTTGGAAGGACGGTATCTCCTGTTGAACCCCAGATGGTGTCTCCTTACAGTCATAGAGTGGTAGGAAACAGAAATGGAGTTCAGCGATGGAATACGGGTTTCCCTGATTGGTCAAGCCAGCGGTATTATCAAACAGATGGGCCTCAGAGGCATGACATGGGATTGTTGGATGGTCCTGATCTCGATGAGTTCAGACTGCGTGATGCATCTGGTGCCGCTCAGCATGCACATAACATTGCTAGGCTCAAAAGAGAGAAAGCTCAGAAATTGTTTTACAGAGCAGATCTAGCAATTCACAAGGCCGTGGTTTCTCTCATGACTGCAGAAGCGATCAAAGGTTCTTCCGAGGACTCTGATAGCGAAGGGTAGAACATCAAAATTAAACATGAGATGACAGAATGGAAACGCCAAATCCCTCAGCTTGCTGTTGTGCAGGCAGTCTAAAGAGAACTACTATTAGACTCAACAATGTTTTTGGTGGAATCAGTCAGTCCGGTTCTACTTTGTCGATAGTGGTGGCTTTTTTTCCGTCTTTTTTACGCAGATACGATAGAGAAATTCTAACATGAGAGCCATGAGCAGTAAGAGTGGGGAAGAAAATCATTGCTCCAACGACACCAGCAACGCCCCTGATTCTTCTACTAGCGAGAATTTTTTTTTTTTACCAGCTCGAGGTCTGTCTACTCGGTTCAAATCGGTGCAATCTTTGTACTGATCCTGCAGGTTAGGGAGGGAGAGGGGGAGGGGTATATGAAATTTTTGGTTGCCAATCTCATTGTACAGATCTTTTTCCTTGTTCTTTGTCCCCCTTAACCCCCCTCTCAGTGTTTAAGTGTTCGTTATTAAAAGGAGCAGTTTGCCCAAATAACACTCCACTTGGGAAAAAAAAAAAAGAAAAAAGAAAAAAGAAAAAGGAATGATTGCCTTTTGCTGTTGAACAGTCAGCTTGCTTTACTCCATATTAGTGATAATACGCGACATCCTGGTTCAACAGACTCATGAATTACACCGTTTGGAAACCAATTGTAAACGCATTTTCTTCACCAAGACTATTGGGGAAATGTCTGAAATGAGGAGTCATGAACATTTTTTTTACCCCAGTTTGTAAAACTTTACAATCTAACTCTTCTTGCATGTGAAAAGACTTGCGCATCATGGCTCGAATAAAAAATTGAACATATATATTTATATACAAATCCAAGATTAAAGGGCCGATTATGTATATTTATAAGGTCAAATAAATTGTTGACTTGTTGAAGTTGGTTATTTCAGATAATTCCCCAAAAAATTAATTCCATACACCAGCCAAAATAGATTTATCGAAACAAAGAAAGCTATCTTTTGGCAATTGTGCTGGTATAAATTTGGCTGGCAACAGAAGCATTCTCTTCAATCGTTGTCTCGAGGCTTTTTCATAATCACAGTGCATGAGCGCATGCGCATGCATACATTTCCACATACGTATCACGAATAAATTACAAGTGATCTCTCTCATGTAAAGGGTTTGCCCTTCCGAAAGTTTTATATCTGCCCATCCATCTTCTTGACCTAAAGTTGCCATGGCAAACCCTCCGCCCATGCCCATCCATCTTCTTCTTCCTTCCTTCCCATCGATCTTCTTTGCCTCATCCCTTCTCTCTAGCTCTTTCTGAACAAAAACAAAAATGGTCATACACAGTTGATTTGGACGGTTGCGATACGGACTTTCGCATATGAGAGGTCTCATTCTTAACGAATATGATTTGTAGGGGTATATTTTCATTCATCATTGAATTTAATTTCCAATGTTTCTGTTTAAAAAAATTCGCCATAGAGCACAAGCAGATTAAAAATTAAGAAGACAGAGTGTATAGCCGGGCGGCTGTACTGTTTCTTTAAAAACCACAGTGTATATCCGTACGGCTATACTATCTCTTTAAAACAATTAAAAATTACTGTATAGCCGGGCGGCTATACGATTTCTTTTTTGAAAAAAAAAAGGCTTAGTATATCCGCAAGGCTATATACTATTTAATTTTTTTTTTAATTTTAAAAACGAGCCTCCTAGTTGCATAAGTTTATACTTTATAGATATTGATTTTGTATTATTGAAAATTTTGAGAAAAATAAGTGTATTATATATGAAAAATACGTATGTACATGTTCAAAACGAGTATTGTATGTTTGCTTATTAAAAAATTAGGACAAAACCGAGTATAGCCGCACGGCTATAATATTTCTTTTCAAAATTAAAAACAGAGTATAGCCGGTCGGCTGTACTATTTCTTTAAAAAAACAGAGTCTAGCCGAACGGCTATACTATCTTTAAAATAGAGTATAGCCGTGCGGATGTACGATTTCTTTTTTAAAAAAACCCAGAGTCTAGCCAATCGGCTATAATATATTTTTAAACCAGAGTACAGCCGTCCGGCTATACTGTTTCTTTGTAAAAAAACACAGCGTCTTTCCGACACGGCTACCCTATATCTTTAAAACAGAGTATCGCCGTTCGGCTATTTCTTTAAAAAAAACACAAAGTCTAGCCGTTCGGCTATACTATTTTCAAAGAATAAAATAAAACGCATAGTATAGCCGTAAGGCTATACGATTTAATAAAAAAAATTAAGAAAGAAGGACCCTCCTAGTTGCATTAGTTTATACTTTATAGATATTGATTTCGTATAGCAGCGCAGCTATACGAATACAATATGTACTTTTTATATTCTCCAAAATTTTGGCAAATTACAACTTAAAAGTTCAGTCACTATACAATATTTTAATATATATTATTTGTATTCAATAATATGTGAGAATTATGTGCATTTTTGTTACAACAAGTAAGAAATAATCTTAACCTCTCACAGTCTTTCATAGTTAGTAAATAAATCAAAAAAAGGACCCGCATAGCCCCTAGCGCCCACAATCCCTAGAAGAAAAATAGAAACGGAAAGGAAACCGAAGAAAATTATACAACTTATTCCCTCTTACCGCCATCACTAATATCATCAATAATAATAATATAGGGAAATAATATACTCTCGAAAGAGCAATACCTAAAACAAGTCTGTTATTCAATTTACTGCTAAACTGGTATGACATCATTCTTTAATGCATCATCACGTCTCAAAATAATACCCTCAAGGCTAGATCTACATTTGGCCCGCTGGCATCCTATCATATCTGCTATTTATTTATTTATTTATTTATTCAAAATTGATAATTAGCGAGCGACTAATGGTTTAATTAGGAAGTGGCGGTTGTTTTTGTTACTAAAAAAAAGAATCAGCGTAGATTCAACGGCTACTATTATTTAGCGGTAAATTTAACCGTTCGAATCGGCAACTTTCACTCCCTCCTTTTGACCTCTTTATCTCCTCTCTCTCTAACCGACTTCGTTGCACGAATGTCCGACTCTAAGCCGTCGGTTCTCTGCGACGCTTATTATCTTTACTTCCTCTCTCGGTTGCCAATTTCTGGGGTTTCTTCTGCACGCTGGTGGATGATGCAGGCATAGATCATACAAAAACTACACTGGTTATATAATCAGGTTGGTTTCCCCCTGCAATTTTCTGTTTGTTTGCTCAGAAAATTGAGCAAAGTAGAGTAAATGTCGTCCTCTTTTCCTTCATTTTGATCGGATATGGATAACAAGTGGTTTTATTTCATTTCCGTCTGTTTGGTTACTGAGAAAATGTGGGAAAAGTAAAGGACAGGGAACATTCATATTCATGTAAAACATTGCATTTATATAGTTGAAGGATTATTCTCAATTTTCTTTTTCTGAAGAAGAAAGAGAAAATATGCATTTCCAGTCATTTTATTGATGATGTTCGAATTATTTATGGAAGATGACATTTTCTATTTTTTGGATGGAAGGAGGTGCCAGATTTTTCTGCATGTGGAAATCGATATAATCTGCACTGGTTATATAATCAGGTTGGTTTTCCTCCTGTAATTTTCCCTTTGAATGGTGAGAAATTTTGGAGAAGAAAGTGAAGATGACCTTTTTTTTTTGTGTGGGAATAATTATTTATCCCTTCTTTTTTGTTCAGGTTACATAATTTTCTGAGAAATGGGTAATCGGTTGAAGGAAGATGAGAAAATCGAAAGAACAATTCGCAGTCTTTTGAAACATCCTCAGAATAAAAGATGCATCAATTGCAATAGTCTGGTATGACATCTTCTTTACATATTTTCTTATCTCTTTGGTGTGTGTCCTTCATTGTTATATGGTCCTATACAAGTGAAATTAAAAGCATCAACAACGGTTCTTCATCTGCAGCATTATATCAGGGAAAGCAGCAAAACCCTCAATTTGTTATTTTCTGCAAATTAACATTTGAACTCTGTAAATGCATGGTTAATTATGTGTTAGATTTCTTATTGCATGCAAGACGCATCGTGCTTCGAAAGATATATGAGAAGATACTTAAGAAATATATATGTTTTTGTGAAAAATTTAATTATATTTTGGTGGAAAGCGCAGTTTCATACGTTTTCTCTTACAAGCAAATGTTCAACAGTATTCTTTGTGCAGGGACCACAATATGTTTGCACAACCTTCTTGACATTTGTGTGTACAAATTGTAGTGGAGTACAGTAAGTATTCATATCTGGTTTAGACTCACTAACTCTCCGTGATACCCTTCTTTTCTGTAGTTTTCTTTATTCTTGTTGTGATGTGCATAAATTCTGCATGGCATCATTTTGATATTGTGTTTTACAAGTGCTGACCTATTAAGATTTTTCGTATTCTTCAGTCGGGAGTTCACTCACCGAGTGAAATCAGTGTCGATGGCTAAATTTAATGCAGAAGAAGTTAGTGCTCTGCAGGCAGGGGGAAATGAGGTGAGCGTGCATACTCATTGGTCTTTCTGTATGTATATGTTCTGTCCAGGCTCTTACTAAAATTTTCATTTACAGCGAGCAAGACAAATTTATTTTAAAGAATGGGATCCTCAGTACCATGCTTACCCTGATGGCAGGTGATTAAGCGTATTTGTCTTCTATGAATATGGGTTAATTAATTCATACCAGATGTTTTCTAATTCACATACTTTCCTCCAGTAATCTTCATAGACTCAGGGATTTTATCAAGCATGTCTACGTGGATAGAAAATACACTGGTGAGAGGAGTGTTTACATTGGTGAGAGAAGTGTGAACAAGCTCTCAAGGCTGCGATTGGTGAGCTATATATTAATGGTTGCACATACAATATTTTATTTCATATTTTACTACTTTAGTCTGCAGAGAGCTTGGCCATTCCTGATCTGCACGCTTTATCAGCAGCAGCAAGCACTACAAACATAGACCTCATTTTGGTTTTGTGATGATGGATTGTTTGTAAGTTCTGTTGATTGCCCCCAGTTAAAGATTCTTGTTCATTTTATACAGAGCAATGAGGAGTCTGATGAAGGCAGGAAGGTAGGTTCATGTCATGGTGGATCTAGGAGCTTCCATGATGACGACATGCATGAACGGAGTTATAGTCAAGGAATAAGTCCAGGTGAAAGAGGTACCGACAGAAGTTTAAGATATTACTATGATGAAAGAAGAAGTCCTCGATATTCTCAAGAAAATGTAAGAAGTGGTGGTGTCAAGAGAAATCCTCTGCGTTTTGAGATTGTTGATAA